CTTAGAATTGAAAGAAATACTAAATTTCAGTTACAGGGTAGTAAAAATAAAGGTGTTGTTTTTGCCTCTCAAATTCAAGAATCCCTTGAGATCCATATACAGACTCCTTACGGCTCCGTGGATGACAGGTGGTCTTCATCAGTTTAGGCTGTTATAAGAAATACCACAGATTAATAGGTTAGAAAACAAATGGTATTTCTTATACTTTGGGAGGCCAGAAGTCCAACATTAGGGTATAAGCATGGTGTAGCTCTTAGAGATAACTCTTCTCCTGATTAGATGCTCATATGGCCTTTCTTTGGTGCCTACATGCAGAGAGAGAAGGACCTTATGAGTTTCTCTTTTTAGTAAGAATTCTGATCCCATCCTTTTTAATAAGGATACTGATCCCATCTCATCTTAAGACCTAAATCGAATCACCTCCCAAAGATCCTACCTCCTAATTCTATCAGTTTGGTGATTAGGGCTTCAACTCACTAATTTTGGGGGAACACAGACATTCAGTCCATAACACCACCTAAGGAACTCTGAGATGATTCCTCTCTGTAAATCTTCTTTAATCAGTCCTTCTCAGCTGTGCCTCAAGAAAGTATATGTTGCCTTTTCTGCTTATTCACGCCCCAGACACTTAGCCATGGTAGGTTTATATCTCGAGTTGTTTTTTCTTTCACTAGGCCAGAAATCAGCAAGTGTTGTTGGAAATATTTTAGACCTTGGGGTCCATATGGTCTGTGTTGCAGTTGCTTGGTTCAGCCAGAGACAATATGTAAATGAAGGGGCATGGCTATGTTCCAAGAAGACATTTATGGACACTGAAATTTGTTTTATATAATTTTCATGTATCAAAAAATATGCTTTTGAAATTCTAACCATGTAAAAATACAAAGCCCTTTCTTTGCTAGTAGACTGTACAAAAACAGACCATGGGCCAATTTGGAATTACAGTAGTTTGTGGACCTCTGTACTGAATCACAAGTTTCTTGAGGGCGGGGCTGAATTTATTTTCTAACTTGTATACCCAGCACCAGTATCTTTAAGACTGATGGAAGATAAATATGTCCCAAGTAAATATTTAAGTCTATCATTGCTTTCATAGTTACATATGCTTTCTCAGTATTGTTCCAAAATTTAAGTGGGACAATAGATGAATTCCCCCATAGAACATAAACTAAATTCAGATTTGTGGTCTCTTAGTTTATTACATCTTTGTGGCTCCTTCCCCTGTGATCTTGGGTGTTCCCTAAATGCAAGCTGACTTTAACCCCTGTTGAATGTGCTCGGTACACTTGTGATCTTGTAGTAATCAAAGTTCTTATGCTTTCCAGTGTGGAATGTGGCCTTACTCCCAGAATATGAAACATATTTTAGCAAAGAATTTTAGATTCATACTTGAACAGAAAGGAAACTCTTTCCAGTGCTCTGTTTTATGCCCTTCAGACTTTTTAAAAGTTCAACCACAGCATTCGTCTTGAAAATCACAGAAATTTTATTTGCTCAGTGTTTATTCCCTACACAGGTAAAAATAACACTTAAAATCAAAGGTAAATGAAGTGATTCTTTTGAATAATCTCTTTAAGTTGTGGAAGCAAACAGACTTACATTCCAGCAGGCTGTTTGAGAACCAAGACATTAATCACAGCTCCAGTATAACCACATTTTTTATAACAAGGCAAGATGATTATTAGTCATGCTTGCCCACCTGTAAAATGCTGACTTGACTAATATGTATATTAACTGAATATAAAAAACTGTTTTGGCATCCTACTCAAGGTCATGGATAAGACTGTGATCTCATCAACCTATGTTCATTATCATGCAGCACCGTTATCTGAAATGAAGCTTTATGTAGAGACACATCAGCAGCCCAAGTAAACAAGAACCAAACAGAAATTGCAGTGATTGGATTGTGTTAACTCATTTATATAAGTCATTTTTAAACATATGGATAATAAAATCTGATCAATTCAGTTTAGAGCTTTTTAACACAACGCTAGAGGTCACCTAAGATTACATTCATTTGTGAATTTTTTTGCAGGTGAAATTTATGCATGTAAACCATTAATAAAGAAATATACCTAGTCCTTCTCAAAGGAAAAGCTTATTTCTAGTAGTAGAAGAGATTATAAGAAACAGGAAAGGAGCTTTCTATGAGAGAATATGCAAATGTATCTGAAGAAGTAGATATTAGAGATAAATAGCAAAATTGGTAGCATTTGCTAACACACACACACACACACACACACACCAGACAAACCTTTGCTCTTATTCTTATTGCTGCCATATTCATTACAAACCTCCTTTCTTGACTTGACCATGACATTGGCTTATTGCTCCTTGTTGGAAAACTGCACACAAGATATTTAACAGAACAATTTCTTTAGATAGAACTTTCAATATATTACTACTCTGCCCTACAGTTTCTATGTAACTTTTTATTTGATGGCACCACTGTTGGTCTGTAGTCTGTTTGACTCTGGTGTCTTTTAATCCAATGTATGCCTTTCCTATATTGGTTTTTTCTCAGCTATCACCATGGTCATATCTCTTAGAGTCTATAATAACAATTTCATGTATTACTGCTAGGAGTGTGAATGTGTTAAGTTTCTCTGCAGGACAAAGCCTTAAAAATGTATGCATGCTGTATTTCACATAGACATTCCACTTCTAGTCATTTCTTTAAGGTGCATTTAAAAATGTCTATAAAAAATAAGACATATATGAATATATAATATCTAAACATATATTATGTATGTAAATACATAGTATATAAAAATGATATATGATACTATTATATAATGCATAACATGTTATATATTATATATACATAGTTGCAACTATTATATATTTTTACAACTCACCACATAGTATTTTCAATTATTTTTATTGCCACTGTTTTTTTTTTAAATAACAAAATTGGTGAGTGCGTCCTTATTTGTGCTTAGTGGGAGACCTATCTATATTACAAAATACCTAGAAATCATTAGGTGATGATGAATACAGGGAAATTTTTATTTACTTACTTTATTTATAAACATGTAAAGTATTGATGTACCCAGAGTATATTCTTTTAAATTTTGGTTTTTTACTTTGCTTTATTTTCTTTTTTAAAGATCTCTACTAACTTGCTGTTGTTCCTCAAATTAATCCTGGCTCCATGAGCCTAGGTTCTAGGGCCCTGCATCAACTGACTCTCAGACAGTAGCAACCCTACAGAAGTCTCGGCCATTTCAGTGTTCTATGGGAAGGTTCTCCTGGGCTCATTCCCAGCTGTGCTCCTGTTTATGTACTTTCCTCTTCAACCACTTCTATTCAGGGTTGGCCTCCATCACGTTTCAAGGTCTCCCTTCCTGCTCTGCTTGGGAAACCTCCCCTGATTTTCCATGTTTTTCATGTTTGTGTCATCTGGTCTCACGGTATGTCTCAAGTACACAGGTGTTTTGGAAGAGAGCCTGAAGTCATCAGAAGAACTAGAATATGATTGGAGAAAACCCGTGATAGCTTTGCTTTAGATTATGTGTCATTTTTAAGGCTGTTTGGAAAAGAGAAGCCACGAGCACATCAGTTCTTTTTGCTTTTGCTCTTTTTCTACTTAACTGAGCATGTTTTTTTTTTTTTCCACCTCTGAGGAGCTAGACAAAGGAGAAGTCATATTTTAATTTCTTATCCTCAGTTTTGCAAGGAAAAACGAGGTGAAATTCAAGAATAGGGTTTATTCTGTAGAATAACATTTCCTTTACCTCCTTGTCCCCTGTTCCTTTATTTCCACTGTCTTTTTCCCTTGAGGTATATGTGGAACCTCATTCTCTGCAAACATTTTCTCTCCCCCTTAATCTCCAGTCTCAATTCACTCATGTACTACGCTTGGTTTGAGAACTATGGCAAAGAGAGACTTGTATTTCTCTACCTTTCTGTGTTTCTCATTAAACCATATCTTGGCCCCCTCAGCAGTCTTGCTCAAACCCTCACATACCTTTTCTCTACTCCATACCCTCTGGGTATGAGGTATATTGGTTTTCTTTATTTCAAAACTAACTTGACTTATTTTCTATTATGAAAATTTGAAAACATATATACAATTGGAGAGGATAATAAAATAAGCCTGTCATATATCATGCAGATTCAATTATCAAGATTTTCAGTGTGTTTATCTTTTAAAACCTAAGGTTATCTTGGTATATTGTTTCATATATATTATAGCATCTGTCATTTTTTTCCTTATGCTTATCTGTTTAGCAGTTCTGGGATATCTGGCTTCCACAATTATTTCTTGGCAGAATGGCTTCTTATTTATTATTATTAGAATTATAAACACATATTTATAGTACAAATTAGTGGGTTTCATTGTAGTCTTTCCATACATACATACATACATTGCAGATTCAACATTTAATTATGCGTTGTCAAGATGACAGTGTGTAGAAGTAGAAATTAAAATTCACCAAAAATATCTAATAAAACTTCTATGTGGCCACTTTGGGCACAGGCTACAATTTGTTTAACAAGCTTTCTATAGAAATTATTATGCAATTATTATTTCTAATTTATTGAATTCCCCTTTAAACCTGTAAATTGAATTTTTACTTCTAATTTTTGTAATTAAAATATGGTCATATGAGTCGTTAATATCATTTGGGGGAATTATCAGGGAGTATTATTACTTGTGAACCTCTTTTTATCTGCATGCTTTTTTCTTCATAGAAAGTCTTTGAATCAGTAAGTATTTTCAGGGTGTGCTTAACTACTCTCATACCATAAGCAAAAGGAAACTTCCTAGTGGATAATAATGCTAGTATGGAAAATTATGAAGTACATTGTGCTTGTAGGCATACCTGACTCTAATGGAATAGAGCAGTGTTATGATATTAGCTTCAAGTGCATGTGAAAGGTTAATCATTTTCATACCGCTCATGAATAACTCATCTATTTTGCAGGATATTGTTCACAGTTGAAATTCTCTAATTAATTTTTCCCTGTTTGTTTTCTTTTTCTCCTTTCTCTAGCTCTTGTAAATGTGAAACTTTGGGCCATTGATCGACAATGTTTTCAAACAATAATGATGAGGACAGGACTCATCAAGCACACCGAGTACATGGAATTTTTAAAAAGGTAGGAGACTTTCTTTTCTCTTTTGAAGAACATTTTTTTGTAGTTTTTGAAATGCAGCAACATGGAGACTTTTCCCATTATTTCATTCTTAATAACCTGCCAATTTGTAGAAGAGAAGACCTTGGATGGGCTTCATTATATTTCCAGTGCCAGTTTTCAGAATATGTGGTTAGGTTGGAACTTCTGAGGATCATCCTATATACTCACTCATTCAGCATTCTCTTAGAGATGTGTAGCTCAGAGAAAGGAGAGAGAATTTGCTGGAACAGAAGATGATACTGAGTTCATTTTAACTATTGATAAGTTAATGCATTATGTCACTTCTTCTAAAAAGACCACATTGGAAGGCCAAGACATCTCTTATGTGAATTTCCATATGAAAGGTCAGATGACTAAAATGGAAAAACTCTAAGAAGCATCTATTTAATTTTTGTTCCTGAGTTTAATTTCTCAAATTAGATTCATTTTATATAACAGTTCTCAAATATCAAACCTTTTCTTTTCTTTGATTATATATTATGACAACTTAATATAGGGTGGTAATAGTAACTAAGAAGCCAGATTTTCATTTTTTAGGAATACACTGATATTCAAGTCCAAATTTGTTTTAAAGAAAATCATTTTTTATGATTGAAAAGAATATTGAAAATTATGATGCCTTAAATGTAATTATTTTTGTATTTCTTTCATTTAAAAACAGAAGCATAATTAAATAGTGAGGCACAGATTATGTGAACTGTGAACTAAAGGGAAGTGTACCCCTAAGATTTCATTTTGAGAATGTTTATTGTTTGCTGTATACTTTCGTTTTGTGAATAAATAGTTAAAACAGAACTACCAAGTTAGAGTCATATTTTGTTTCAGCGATACATTTTAACAGGTATCTATTGAATTTAATATTCCTTTCTTGGGTATCTTTGTGGTTAATTCATTTGCTTCTGTTTCACCCTTTATGCATTTTTTTTTTGTATCCACATGAACTCTTTTTGCTATATCTCTACTGAAGGGACAGTTGCTTTCTAATTTAAATCAAGTAATGTATTAAAATATTACTGTGTCTGCAGGGTGACTTTTTTTTCTTTTCCTCACTGTGATTGGTTGAAACATTTAGAAAAGGTGGAAATATAAATTTCTTTTGAAGTTTAGAAGGAAATTAAATTGTTCAGTTGCCATGTGTGTGTGTGTGTGTGTGTGTGTGTGTGTGTATGCATGCATGCATGAGTGTGGATTTGGTGAGAAACACAGAAACAGAATGAATATTTCATTTTAAGCTTTAACTTGAAGTGCAAGAGATATAGATTTTTTTTTTCTGATGCAGCCCTGATAGAGATTCCAATTGTAGTTGATGAAATGGTTTGATGTTGATTTTAGCTTCTATACATTTTTTTCTGAAGGAGATTGAACCATTCTAATAAGAACTCCTTTATTAGTGGGTGGTGCCATTTTAGGAGATGGAGATGTCTTCCTGTGTTGTGTGTGTGTGTGTGTGTGTGTGTGTTTTAATTTACTCTGGAAATATTTTCTTTTGTGGGGGAAGGGATGTTACTGTCAGAGCTGTCTTAGTTTGTGTGATCTGTTCTGACTATTCAAACTTTAATACAAGTTGGCTCTCCAGAGTGAGTGCACATATTTTGTTGGCCAGCTAAGAGCAAGTAGAGTTTACTTGGTTGAATAAAAAAGAGTTGAGTTCTGACTTTGATATCACTTTCCATCTGGCCACTCTGTAAAATATCAAGTTTACATTGTTTGTGACCCTCAGACTGGGCTGGGGGTCCAGAGGTACCAGAAGGACCATCACTGCCTGCTTTAATCTAAATGGTGGCTGTGACTAACTGGTTCTTTTCTACAACCGTTCATAGGCTCACAGTTCCTGTTGAATTATTTATGGCACCCCCTGGACATTCCTGGCCCTTTTATGACTGAGACCAGCCAACTTTTCCAGCCTGCTTTCTTCTTGCTCCTCCCAAAGCAAATGATTCCACATACCCACGTGTTCCCTGTATCCCTGTGTTTTCTTCCAAACTGTCAATGTTCAATCCTGTCTTTTTGCTTCAACCAAAAACTTCTTCCACAGACTTGGGCCTCATTCTATGTAGCATTAACCTCTCCCTTCTCTGGTTCTTCATTGTCTGCTTTGTTTGACTATAATTTGACTACTGAGCTTACTTCTACTTCTAGAGTATAAACTTTTCAGGACTAGTATTATTCTTATATCTCTTGATCATTTTCTTTGGCATAAAACTTATTGCTTTATAGATAGTTTATAGGACACCAACTACGGGACCAATGCATAATTTTCATTGCAAAATGACAGTGCAAGGCTCCTTTCCCCCAAATAATTAAAAATGTCATAATGATAGCCCTGTATTAATTCAAGCATAAGACCCTTCTGAGCAGAAGCTCTATCCTCCTCTACAAAGCACACACCCATGAGGCTGGAGACAGCAGAATTCATTCCTCCTTCACATTCCTGTTTAGTTAACTATGTTTACTGTCATTTAGTTCCAAGGCTCTTAAGAAGTGGCATAATCATATAATCAGGTCCAAGGGAAATACTAAAAGATATTGTCAAAAAAACAGGAGACCAAAATTAATTAAAACTTTCTACTATAACTTCAGAATCATTTTTTTCTATTAGTTGTTCATTTAAAGATTTTCTGATTTTTGCTTATTACTCTTTTATATCATAATGTTAAGGGTTGGGGATTTAGCTTAGTGGTAGAGAGTTTCTTAGTATGTGTGAGACCCTGGCCTATATCTCCAGTACCACACACACCAAAAAAAAAAAAAAAAGAAAGAAAGAAAGACAGACTTTGCATAGTCAAGTCAATGTACTTTTATTTTATGACTTCACGTCTAGAAATGCATACCTAGCTTAATATTATAAAAATATACCTAATATTTTAATCTTCTCTATAGCAATCTAGGAAAGGTGGATATTTTTCTCTGTGTTAAATAGAATGTTCATTTGAAATTTTCTACTATAGATATAATTTTCTTTATAGTTTGTGATGGAGTTAACTGTAAGCAATTGTGACATTATCACAAAATAAAAACTCTTACAAATGATAATGTACACCATTAAAATTCTTCCCAGTAGAGAAGTCTATTGTCCCTCCCTAATTGAGGAATGTCAGAGACAGCATCAGGCTGAAAGAGGAATGATCCTGTAGCATTGATCATCTTCCCAACCCTTCCTCCTCATTTTCCTAAGAAAACACATATGTTTAGAGGGTGAGAAAGGGAACACACCAGGCATATAAACACACTGCTGATATACCAGGATTTTTCCTTATTGTCAAAGTTGAGTTTTATTTTAAATCCAATGTGTTTACTCATTTTGTAGCTACACTCATGTGGTTTAGATCCTTCTTTGCGATGATTAGATGTCACAGTAAACTCTGATTCTGGCTCTTTAATCCTGTTTATTCATTTCACTTTTGTGCTTGTATTTCACATTCCCTGATGTAACAAAGGTGTTCCTATGCAAGCATCACAAAAAGGAAAAAAAACAACAACAACAACATTAAAAAAATAAAATAAAAACAATGGGCAGTACTACTAAGCATGGCATGATTGCTATAGGTCCAGAGATAATTTTACCATTTACCAACATTGTCCATCATCTCTAGTTACTGAAAAAGGCTGTTGTTTTTAAAATGAATTCTGAGAAATGAGCCAAAATGGCCAGGCATGATGGTGCATGCCTATAGTCCCAGGAACTCAGGAGAATGAGGTAGGTGGATTGGAGGTTAGCCTGGACAACTGAGTAAGACCCTGTCTCAAAATAAAAATGACTGGGGATGTAGTTCAGTGACAGACACTACTGGCTTATATCCAAGAGCCAAGTAACTGCCAGAGTTAATTTGCATGGCTTTTCTCTGAACATATTCTCTGGTGCTACTGCTGGAAGTGGCATCTATACTCAGAGGAGCTTTACAAAGTAGCTGTGGGCCCACTGGGTTCTCTGTTGGCCTCAAACTCTGGTGAAGATGACAATGATGATGGTGGATGCCTGTTTGTATTACTTTCTTCATCAACAAATCAAAAACACAGCAGGAATTTTTTGAAATTTAGGCTACTCATTTAGTCCTACAGATCCTCAAAAAAATCTTTCCTCTGTCTATTAGACCATCATTCCAGCATAAGGCAGATTAGCTCATGCTGTTCCTCTGCCATAGAACCTTCCATGACTTCTTTCACTTCTAGAAGAAAGCCTACCTAGGTGTACTTGTCCTCTAGGCCCTGTCTTATGGTTTGGATAGGAGATGTCCCCCAAAGCTCCTGTCCCACAAAAGTTCCTAATGCAGGAATGTTGAGAGGTAAAATTATTGCACTGTGGGAGCTTTAACCTATTAAATCCATCCTAGTTTGAATGAACTGGATGAGAGGTAGATGAGACATGGCTGGAGAAAGTAGGGGTATATCCTGGAAGGCTGCATATTCCCTAGGGCCTCTTCCCCCCTCCACCCTCTCTCTCTCACTCTCTCTCTGCTTCCTGACCTTTCCATGAGGTGAACAACTTTCCTCTGTAGCATCTTTCCTCCATGATGGGCTGCCTCACTTTGGGCCCAGAACAATGAAGTAGGCCCCTTATGGATGAAGACCTCTGAAACTGTGAGCTCCAAATTGACTTTTTCTCCCTTTAGTTTTTCTTCTCGGGTATTTTTGTCAGAGCAGCACAAAACTAACAAACTCTGTCTTCTCTAGCTACTGCTGACCTCTCCAGTTCTCTGTTCATCTTCTCGTATTTTCTCATTCTCTTTGCCACACTCACATGTTAGTTTTTCATTGCTTGATGTCCTTCATGCTTCCTCGTATTAGAGATTATACCAAGAGAATCCTCTGCCTTTGAGGGGAAATTATGCAGAGTGACCTATAGAGAAGCAAACTGAGTATGCCGGTAGTGACAGAATATGGAACCTGAAATCTGATTTCAGGCTTTTGATTTCCCTTCCATGAGTTGAATGGGGCATTGCAACTATCTGCCATCATGTTTC